ACCTGGAATATTGGATTTTGCTGTAAGAGGAGCTTATAGTTTGGAGAAGAGTTATAGGAGCAGGGCAGAAAATGGATACAGATAAGGTATTTCCTGCTATTATGCAATGCTGATTACCTTGAGGCACTTTGAGTGGGCAGATAAAAAAATTCTATTTTCATATAAGAACAAACAAACAACAACTTTGCTAATGCATAAATGAAGGAGTGGCACCACTGGAGAGCACAGAGAAATACTGAGATGGATTAGGGCTCTTCCAATTAGATATAGTCCTCATTGGGTGCCTGATTCCATCTGCATCTGAGATTTCAAATTTCCATGCATAAATTCAGTTTACCTTTCATTACCAACAATAATCCCTCTTTAGTCTTGCAGCCCACACCTGCTCATTACCTTGTCACTCCATTAACATACATAAAAACCTAATAAGTAGCCTTGGTAACAAATGACAGGACATGTCTGTCACACAGCCCACCAGAATAATTCCAACAATCCTCATTTGGAACAATTTGTAACTGCTGCAATTATCATTAACAGAGACTGTGAGGATGACCCTGAGGCAGGTGTTTGTGACCGTTTGAGTGAAGTGGAGGCTAAACCTGAAAAAGACTCTCAAAAGAGGAATATTGCTTTATTAAAGCTGCTTTACTGAGAGATAGCTGGCAGACTCATAAGAAATAACTGTTCTTAGCCTTCCCCCTCCTGGTGACACTCCTGTATTACATTTTTTCCAGATGTATCCAGTTTTCTTCAGAGTACAAAAGATATTAATATTCAAAATGCGTAGGAGTGGGCTCACTTTTAAAAATGTCACACACCAAGTTTTTTTTCTGCAGTGGCAAAATCCTTCAGTGATTCTTGTCTATTTAACTGGATCGGAGTTTTTCAGATTGAGAGAGACTTCTAACTGCAAGAGTGGAGGGAAGAGGTCCTGTGTGGAGCAACGTAAGATTACAGGCCTTTAAAGTAGTCAGGTGATATTCTATATTTTTGTTACTGTCCTGAATCCTCTTAAAAGACCAACAATGAATGTATCCTACTAACAATTATTATGCATGTCCATATATCTTATTCCTCACACACACATCACCCACTTCCTTATCTCCAACGGTGTTGCTATCAGAGGAGAACAACAAACAAGTTTTAATAACATCTGCCTCTTGGAAATGTGGAAAAGAACAAGCCAGGATCCCACTGAGAAGATAGAGGGGTTGTGTTGAACACAGACTCAGAAAACCTGCGACAAACAAGTCATGAAAGGGAACCCCCAAGGAACCAGGAAAAGGCGTCGCCCCAGGAACAGCTGGAGAAGAGGTGTCCAGGTAGAATTGTCCAGGAGTGGGCTCAACTGGGGGGATCTTGAAAGAACTGCCAACAGTAGAGGACATTTGCCAATGGCCTATGCTCCCTGCATAGAGGAGAGGACTTGAAATCCTGCTCTACCACATGAGCTGGCCGGGTGCCTCACACTGTAGTTTATTTTGATGCAAACCCACATACACCATCCTGCTGCCCCAAATACTAACTAGAGCACCAAATGTTGGTTGAAAATAATTGTTTTCTCCCGTTTGATTGCTAAAAACTACAGTGGTAAGCTGTTTATCTATTTTATGTTTTTAGTCTTTTTTAGAAATGAAAGTAGAAAGCCACATAGCGAATGGGGAGGTCAAAGTATTGCAAGATAGACTAACATGTTGTTGGTTTTTGTCTTTTGATGGGATGTGTTGACAAGCCTTATCTTTTAAATGGGTTGACTGATTATAAAATGCTTCTTGTGAACCATCCTTTTCTGATACCATCAGACAGTCACATTGTGTAAGAGTGCTGCCTTGGTTGAATGCAGTTAGGACCATGAAATCCTGATCCTAGATTCTGTGAATTATATGGGAAAAGCATGTTCTTCTTTTAAACTGACACAATGGTCACCTGTACACATGGCACAGTTGCATATAAATCTCAATTATTCCAATGAAACCCCCATCCACTGCTCAGTAACATCTTTCAGTCTAACATCCTGTTTGTACTATAGTTTTACTCAGCATGCAGTATGTATGTGGATTTGACAATTTAAAAGTTGAGAGTTCCCTCAAAATATTTAATGCACCGCATATGGAACGACACATTATTTTTATGGAACAGCATTGCTGGAAATATGCCATTCTCACTTAAATTTACATAACAGATGGTGTGCTTCGCTTTGAGTGTGTTTTATGTAAATGTGGTGACTAATGTTTTCTACAATGAGCCTGGAGAGTGAGACAGCAAAATATTATTTAGAGTGACCCTTATGTCCCCCCCCTTGTTCCTCTAATGTGATGGAGCCGCAACTTGTGACAAATTGAACTGTTGAGAGCAGATTTAGGCAGTTAAGGAAGGATTAGGTAAACACTAATAATTCATTCTGTCAGCTACTCCTGACCTAAATTCCAGTTGTATAGTCTTAGTAGTCACTAAGATAAAACAATGGAATTTTTTTCTTTGCATTTTTATTTCCTTAGGAAATTTTTTTTTTTTCCATGAATGTAATGGAATTATAATTTATAGAAATATAGAACAATGAGTTTATCTATTAAAAAAATTGAAGTATGATTTTAGACAGTGAAAAAAATCATTATTATACTGTATTTTGGAGTCCATTTTAATTAAATTAGCTAGCTTCATTACCTTTACCGTAAAATGACAACCCATTTGGTTATATTTTTATGTATAGCATGTTTTTAGAAAATGATTTGGCCCCTATTAAAGTTTATTCTTCTATTCTTTTATTCTTTTTAGTAAGACCTCTGAACCTATAATATGTTGGGGGGAAAAATTTACTTTTGACACTACCTGTAAGGAGGCAAACTAAAATGGGCAGTCTGCTTAAAGAAACAGCGACATCTAGTGGGTCCCTTTAGCATTACAGCCTGAGTTGTAGAGATCGGTCAGTCAGGTTGAATTAACTACAATAAGATAATAGTGACTCAAAATGTGCTCTACCAAACAGTTGAGCAGAACATTAAAGGGTTAACCTCAGCAAAAAATCTGAGATTAATCTTTAATAACTTCTGGTAATCTGGTCCTATAGTCTTCGCCTGGTGGTCAAATGGATGTACTGCAGGCAGAGGTGTGAAACAGAAGCCTGAAGCTGGGGCTCCAGAATACCAGGAAGACTTCAGGACACACCATAACACAACAGGACACACCCTTCAGTAGCCACAGGGTCACGCTTGTGGACAGTGAGCTGCTGGGTCAGGGTCAGATGTGACCGACAATGCTGTGTGCTTTTTTTTTTGGTTTTGTCATGTGCATGTCCGGGGATTTTCTAGAACACAATCGCTTCATTGTAGATAAGTGTATCAAATGTCTAACACAGCAGCCTTTTATGGGTTGCTCCTCAAACTGGATCACCCCGAGGGAAGAGGTGTTTTTTTTCCTTAAATAGATCTCATATAATTTAATAAATGTTTGTTTTTTCTTCTTTTCAGTTTTAAAATGTCATGTCTTTCTTGTTCAAATGATTACAAATGTGACTGTGGCTAAGCAACATAGCCTATAATGTAATATTTTATCATTTTGAAATTGAGCTACATTGCAACAGAGGTTCAGTTGGTGTGTGTGAAGTCTCAATATCAGATTAGTAATTAAAGGTTATCGCTTTTCTTGTGATGGCTTACTCAGTAAATATACTGTTGATGCTAAGCATGTCTGATCCTGATTCTCCTCACATACATTATATAATCCACAGCTTCATAAGGCTTGGGATTAGTTTCTTTTTATAAAAGTGATTTTTGTTTGTGTGTGCATGTGGCCAGCCTGGAGAAAGGGGACAGAGTGCTAGTCACGCTGTAGGAATGAGAAAAGAAGCCACAAAAAGCCCAGGAGGTGAGTGACCTTCATCCAGGGACATGTGGCAAAGTAATAATAGCACAGGAAGTTGGGAACTTAGAGCATGGCCTTCAACGTGAATCTCTCATTACACTACATTATAATTGATCACGGCTCAGCCTATGTTTATGTCTAATCACTGCAATCAGTAGCTGCTGATTAGCTCTACTTGATACCAGGGAGATGTGCATACGACAGAGGGGGAGCTGGAGAAAGAGGAGACAATAGATTGGTGCCACAGTTTTCATCAGTCAAGATGCAGCAGGATGTGATGGCGCTCTGTTAATAAATCTTGACACCATACATGCAGTACACAGATACATTGCCAGTGACACTCCCCCTGCTGCTCCTCTCCTCCCACTGCAGTGCACACATGGCCAGGCACCAAAACACCAAACAGGCTGAGGCTAGAAAGAAAACCTCAGTGTGCCTCAGGAAAATACCACTTTGAAATGGGGCCGTGTGGAAAATGTGATGTAACTGTGAATAAAACCACAGCCAACATTCAAAACACAGTGCTGGAAACTCATTGAGTAATTAATCAAATTGCTGTGCCGTATAAATGATAAGTCATTAATAAAGGGAGCTTGCACATCAATAATTTAGAAAGTGCTTGTTATTGTCGCATTACATATGCAGACAACAGTTCACATGCAGCTTTAGAGGATTAGTGTGTAGGATTTAGTGGCATCTAGCAATGTGGTTGCAGATTGCAACTCCCTCGCTTCACCTTCCCCTTCAAAGTATGACGGGAAACTACGTGAAAAGTTTGAACACCCCTAGAGCATCTAGAGCCAGTGTTTGGTTTATCCCTCCTGGGCTACCATAGAAACTTGGCAGTTTAACATGGCGGACCCCGCGGAAGGCGACCCTGCGGTGTATGAAGATAAAAGCGTCTCATTTTAAGGTAACAAAAACAGAAAAATTCCTATATTTAGGTGATTATACACATGAAAACATAGTTATAGATCTTATAATCAATTTCTGCCAAAAGATCCTCCTAAATGTTGGACTTTTAAAGGTCTGGGAAGCCACTAAATCCTACACACTGGTCCTTTAATGTCTGAATTAGGAATGTGGACGATGTGAGTACTGGCTGGAGTCATTTGCTCTCTCTTTAATTCACCAGCAATCATTAATACTCTTTTGCTACCTAAATCATGCACTGGCTACACGCTCATGCTACTATTTTGCTGGTCAGTGGGATGAGATAAAACTACACTGTGCTGAGTTTAATACGTGTATATCTGACCATGAGACAAGATATTATATACTCTAGCAAACATTTCGTGGAACATTAAGAAACATATTGAGAGCACTGAGAACAAATAAGGTTATGACTTGAATTGTTTGGGAAATACAGTTATTATACAACACCACAACAGAAAGAAAAATGTCATCATTTCTTATCTTATGTACAGTGAAATATAATTAGCTGAACAGACCATAATATAAATAACATAATATTACCGGTTAGGTCAGATCAATGTGACTTTATTTTGGGTTTCTAAACCGTATATTAATTTAGTTTAATACCACATTTTCCAGTACCATGAATAATATAAACACATTCATTGTCAACAGGTAAATTCTACCACACCTGCCTGGCCTCTGCTGACCTCCAGCTCTGCTCCTCAGTGAACACCTTGCCTATTTCAAATCCTTTTAATTCCACTTATTCTAGATAATATTGCTCTGGTTTGGTTTGAAAAGCCTAAAATGCACCCAAACCCTAGCCTAATGATGAAATCAAGAGAACTTGCTGTAAAGATGAGCACAGATGGAGGGCTACAAAACCTTTCATCTGAAGGCTGATGATGAAGGCTGAGCTTTAACACCATCTATAGATTGGAATGCGCTGCTTCTGCGGCTCAGTTCAATCACCTTTGTGTGTCGCGACCGCTGTCCAAGGTGCTAATCCTGTGATAGTCAGCCAGCAAAACACGTTAGGATGTTTGCATGGCACATGGGAATAAAGATGCCTCACATAGAGCAGAATAGTTCTCCATTTACTTTCTAAGTAGGTCATCAACTTACTTACTGATTTACTGGTATGTACCAGAGTTACACAGAGTTGTTAGGATTCAGCTCTGTAGCTGCTATTGTTATTGTTTCCTGGTAGGTGCTGATCAGTAATATTGTATATGTTTCTACCTAGTGTGTATATACAAATATACAAATATAATATAATATATACATATACACACACAGCGACCTGTCCAGTGTTGGCCAGAAAATATTTTATGTTTAAGATGTTCAAATCACTGACAAAAACACACCTTTTCAAAATGGCTTTTAAAATCTGAGTCTAATGTGTTTTTAATATTGTAATGTACTGTTTATATTTTTTATTACCTTTGGAAAAGACACAAAAAGAGAATAGAAATAAAAAAAAAACACAAAAAACAATACAACAACACAAAAAAAAAAAAAATTTAAAGTCAAAGAAACAAAAATCACCTTACATACCTCCTTACCCTCTTTTCTCTTTTTTCTTTCTCTTTTCTTCTACATATAATCTCATCACTAGTCACATCCCCACCACCACACCCCCACCCCAGTCTCACACAACTTCTTATCACACGCCACACAACCATGAAAGCTCTCTACCCCAGAAAAGCGTCTTTTAAATAAAATGTTTTATAATGTATTATTATTATTATTAAGATGCTCAAAGTTTCATGCTTTTGTTTTAACAATGCCAATAAAAATGACAAAATCAGTCAGTTTCACTTGATTAAGAATGATTTTTTTAACTCACAAAATTGAGTAAGTTGTACTTTTCAGTCAGTCAGTTTCAGCAATTTTTATAGTTCCATTAACTGGTTTTACAGTGTGTTTTCAAGTTCTTCCTCAGGTGTGTCTAAAGACAGCTGTTTCATTTATTTTCCTCCAAAGGGACAAGCTGGCTGACTCCTGCTCTTCCTGAGAACTTTGTCACACATGAGTAAGTGTAAAAATTGCCCACGATGCTCGAGGACTTTGTGAAGCCGGTCTTATGACTGGCGAATTGTAATGGTGCATACTGAGAGCTGGCTGTTTTCAGATGACTTCCAGACATGTGCCGAGTTTATGGCCTATAAAAAGCCAAACATCACCAGCAGTGCACTTCATTTGCAAACAAACCGGCGTTTCATGTCCTACAGAGGCAGAAAGAGAAGTCTATGTTCCAGAGTGAAGCATTATTTGGTGCTGAAATCAGATTTAGAGGCATCATCCTTGTGTCTTATGCTCACTGAGGTCGCTGACTTTTGTGCAGCAGGTCGTCAAGCATTGCCGTGTTAAATTGCAGGTCGTGCTGTTTAGATTTCTAACACTCGACATGAGTAAGTTTCACGGTGAGCTGACTCAAAGGGAGCAGGAGTTGCTGAAAATGCGGAGAGACAGTGACACTAAGGCCGCCGAACTTGCCAAGATGGAGAAGATGCTGCAGCAGACCAAGAACCTGTTGGACAAGAAGAAAGAGTTTAGTTCAGATAGCATGGGCTATCAGGAGAACATGGGTCTGTATCACAACACATTCTAACTTCATATTAGAATTTCTTCTGTGTGTCCTCTTGTTGGTGGCTGTGGTGTGACTGTGTCTTCTGGTTGCTCCTTGCAGTGGAGGACCTAGAGGAAAAGGTGCGCTCCAGCAGACGGTACAGGAGGAACTCCCTCCATCACACACAGATGCTGGAGAGCCAGATGAAGACTGTGAAAGGCGAGCTGGTGGGCACGCTGGACCACCTTCAGGAGCTGAGGAATGTCTTGCGCCGTTCCCAGCAGAAAGCCGAAGAGCGCAAAGCCACGATGGAGAAGCTAGCGGCAGGGCTCAGGTGAAGCATCTGTCTGCGGCTGCTTTCAATTTGGATCAAGGTTTTGACCTTCCTGATGTCTTACATCCTGCCAACGAAGATGTCTAGAGTTTACATTTAACAAGACCACACCCATAAGCTGGTTAAATGGAAGAAGAAAGAGACTTTGAGCTGCTGTGCTGGTACTCACTCTGTTGTTTGGCATCCAAAGACTCAATTTAAAAGACGATCCATGGTATTTCACAACCAAGCCAACAAATGATATTTTTCCCTCTATTCCCCATTTTTTTGTCCTGCTCTTATTAATCTCATATTTTGAAGGCTTGAACATGCTTCTCTGTGTCTTCTGGAAACAATCTGAAGATGATTATAAAAATGCTGCTGCTTATACAAGTGGGAAAGCCACAGAACAGTTTTCAAACTATTAAATCACACATACAGTGTTCCATATTTCTGCAATGTTCTTTTACCTTTTCAGTTCTGAAATATGGAGATTGCACTTGTATGAAATCTCAGAGGCAATAATGAACATTATTCATCCCCTAAAAATATATCCTGAGCAGCCCTCCTAAATGTTTTTTTTTTCTGGGTTGCTGTATGCTCATCCATTTATGACAAGAAAATATGATTGATGACATTCTTCATCCGCAGCCCCGGGAATGACTTCCATGTCATTGCTTCATGAACCCAGTTTAAATGAATTCAACCCTGCCAATAATAACATGTAAGTTGTGTTTTGTAATGTGAATCTGTAAGTTAATCAAGTAATTAGTTAATTGTGATGTTATTAAATTCTTACAAAGTAATCTTGTGCTGTATGAATTGTTTCTTGCACAGTAATAGCAACATTTGTTAATTTTATTTTTGGACTGGTGTACAGGAAAAACACAGTTGCACCAATTTTGTCTTTTAAATGAAGCGCACATATAAATCATTCTAAAATGAGAGAAAAATCGGATGCATGCCCTTTTTTTTTGCAATGTTTCTTTCCCCAGTTGACAGAAAAGTGTCTTTTTGAACTCCCTCTGGGATCAATAGCCTGTTGTGTGTTTCCTGCGGTGAGTCATCTGAAAGCTGTATTTGTGCCTTCCCTGTGGCTGAGATGTGATCACACCTAATTTAGCACAGCTTGTTTCACACCGCGTCACATGCTGCAAGGCTGACCCTGACCTAGACATTAGATGGTAATTATAACACCATTACAGTTATATAGACTCTTCATTATGTGCAGCTGCTCTGGCTTTTCCTGTCCCTGGATTTCAACAATGTTGTCTGCTTTCTTATCGAGTCCACAACACTATCATACTTATGTTATGGACATTATATGATATTATATGTGTCTTAGGGTTGACATGATGCTCATGTTTCTATATAATAGCTGAAGCACATAAAGTGAATCTGATTTGTGATCATTTGGGGAAGAAACTAATGATAGTGAAGAACAACAACAAATGCACAAATATGGATATGATGAAAAGTTGCATAGCTTCACTTCAAGAATTTAAAAATAAATAAAGCAGTATAGGAAAAACAACACTAATAGCAGCAATATTTAAAAACAGGGTAGTAAGACTATTGTGAAAATAAAAATAAAAATAAAGGTTCAATTTTGTATTTATAAATAAACTGTGTTTGTGGCAGCAGTCTCTGGGGATAGGTTCTCACCATTCTGTTCTGTGGTTGGGCAGGGAGTGTTTACCATCACACAGTGTTGCTGATTCATAAACATCCTTATTGTTTATTTCTTCTTAAAATAATGATTCTGTTTAGCTTTTCATCAAATATAGTCCAGCTGTTTCTGAGACACAGGTAGATGATCAGAACAAATGAGCCTGCAGGGGGCAGTAGAGACTTCAGAGAGCTGTCTGGAAATGAAACAAGCAACTTCTTCTTCTTACTTCTGTTCTTATCCTCCTCCTTCATACGACCACATGTTAGGCAACAATTGATATTATTGCACCTTTAAATATGAAACCATCCGGACCAGAACAGCCTTCATCTGCAGCATTTATGACTGAGAATGGATAAAAAACCTATTCATCTATTCACTCTTTACCCATTTATTCCTTTCCCAAGTCAAAGGCAGGGAGAAAACCTCATGTAGTACTATACAGACAAGTTATTCTGATCATAGTTATGCAGCTTTACCAATGAACCACCACTAAGCCGAAGGGACCAAAACAATATCCAGTAATTTACTATTTTTATTGTATATGACTGTATCCAGCAGACACTTCATAGGTTTATGAAGTTGTCACGCCCACTGATGAACAGCTTGCATTTGGCTTTGTGTTGTGCTCAGTCACTACTCACAAAATTTGGCAAGCCATTACAGGGTTCCTCATTGGCATCATTGTTATTGTTGTTGTAGAGAGATTGTTAGAGCACACTTGAAATGAAGAACTTAGTAAATTTGTATTCACATTCTTGCAGAGAGTTAGATATAAACATGAATACTACTGAAGCAAGATCTGGGAGATGTTAGGTTAGCTAAGCATACAGATTTGAAAGAGGGGGGAAACAGCTAGCATGGCTGTCCAAACTAAAGGAACAAAATCTGAGGGGGCCTTATTGTCACTGCATAAACTGTATAATTAAAAATGAACATAGTCTCCATGTCACCCAGAGGTTTCTGAAGAGCCGTTGTAGAGCTCAGTGTGGTGGCTCTGGCCTTCGCCATCTTGCCAGTTCTGACAACACCAACTCCCAGCTAATCCAAAAATGGGCAAATATGTGGAAAGTGGGTGGAGCTGAGGCTTAATGAAGCCTGGTTACTGAAAACAACTAAACCCACCTGTCACTCAAAGAGGGAATGTCCATAATTATACATACATTTAAGCCTGTCATAATTTAAATGTGTGAGTTATATAAAAATTCACCCCCGTTTATTTCTACTGTAAAGCCAGCCTCAAGTGGCCATTTGAGGAACTGCAGTTTTTGTTACTTGTCTCAGTGTTGGCTTCATTTGCCAGCCACATAGGTTACATTTGATTTTTGTATGGATTAAACAAACCAGATATAACATGTTTATCAGTGAAAATTAAAGGTGCGGGTAACAGGATTGTTTTGCTTTTGGACAGAGTCAAGATAGCTGTTTCCTTGTGTTTCCATACAAACATGAAAGTGGTATTCATTTTGTCATTAACTCTTAGCAAGAAAGCAAATAAGAGTATTTCCCAAAATGTACAACTATTCCTTTAATGTCTGTCAATTCTACATATGGTATATTTTCTCAGCTGTAAGTTAACCTCTTTATTTTTTGTGTTTAAGATTAAATAAGTGGTTCAAAACTTACAGGGATTTATCACTCTGATTTCCCTGTGTTTAAGGGGTTAATATTTATATACCTGAGTCTCTCTTGGATTAAATAATGGCTGCAATCCTACTTTAATTGCCATACATGTATATTAAAGGGACAAGGGAGAGGAAACAGGTTAGTCTGCCTGCCAACAATACAATTCTCTGTTCAAGTCTAATAATGTCTAGAAGCCATTTGCACGGATGCCCTGAGGTACTGTGGCACCACCTACATGTAAGCCACAAACATTGTGAACTGAGTGACATTGTTTTCACACGGCACAACTTTTCAGCTGCCATTTTATTCTGTTATGTGTTTCTTTGTGTTGCATAATGAACCCACTGTGACAGAAGATTTAATAAATGGTTTGGAATTGTTTGTGTGAGCTGGTGCTAAGTTTACTGTACATGCATAGAGAAAAACATATTGTCTACCAGAGCTATGACAGATGTCCTTGTTATGACATTTGCAACATTCACTGAAACCAAAAAGCCCAGAAAGACGCATCGTAACAATGAATGTGGTGATCACAGCCTTGTTATCACTGGATTTTTGAAATACTGAAAGACTTACTTGTTCTGCTCTGTGTCTGAGACATCTGCTGATTCTTCAGTATAGTAGAGGTGAAAGGAATTTTCTTCAGAACACACTGTCAGCAGGTTTTACGCACAATTTCTTCTGTAGAACGTAACTGAAAACTATTCACAGTGAGGTCTAACCTGAGTGGGATGTTGTTTTTGGAAACCATTGCATTGTTGAGGCACGTCAGAACCTAGCTAAATAAAATCCAAACTATCTACATTGCCAGATACCACAAAACGTTTGTGGGTTACAATTATCAAATGTCAGTGCCCCTTTATGAGTAGTAAGAAGTGAATGTCAGAGTTTGCATCCGACCTGCAGCAGCTTTTGTTTAACCCTTTACAATAACCTTAACCAATTGTTTTAGTTGCCAAACCTAAAGCCCCCCTCCACTCTTTCTTCTTTTTCCTACAGTGTGATATTTGAATGCTGTATGTTTGTGTATTTGTGTATTGTTTGACAC